ACACGTAGGTTTGTTGGCGAACCACAGGAAGACTTGCAGGCTGGAGGCATGGGATATGCATGAGCAGGACCTTATACCACTGCGGTAACATAAGCATTATGAGAGAGGGAAGAGCTCTACTCACTCAGCTACAATATCCTCCAGTTTCCAGTCTTCGAGAGCGTTGAGTAATAGAAATGTGTTGCTATACCAACTTCCAAGCTGGATCAAAGCAGTCGATCATTCAGAGCACTACAGTCGTCATTGGAAGCGGCGGAGCTGCAGATCTCGCTAAGGCACTTTAATTTACGACGTACTGCTCAGCGCATCGAGCGTACTTGACTATAATGCTCGAACAACACCATGGTTGACGAACTCTTTAAGTAAAGCATAAGGGCTGCCTGCATAAGCATCCTTGCTGACATGCATTAGAATATTCACATGAGGTCCTCGAGGAGATCGAAAGATGAACCTTTTAGTAATGTTTATTGGACAAACACTAAATAATTTTGTTTTTAAATCAATCGGATCATTCCTCATCAATTTAAGAGTGTATATATTTGCTTTTTTGTTGATTATTCCTGCTACATATATCTTTTTAAAGAAGTGCTTAGCTATTCTCCTCTTGTCTATCATGGATGTTAGCACAGCCCTAATTCTTAAAATTAAAAACGTTGGTAAATGATTGTACTTGCAGTTTTTACAGACGACTTCACTCTTGGTTATGCGCCGATCATGAACGCATACGTCTTCGCAGAATCGATTGCTGACCTAAAGCTCGAATTGATCTCCTTCTTAGCACTACCGTTTAAACAAATGCATTTCGACTCATTACATCATCGTTTTTTTCCTCACTGCCACTTCATCGAAAAATCTCGCAAGAAGCAGTACCAGATATGACAGTAGAACAATTACCTCAACGCATATGGATTAAATCGGGCATAACATTGCACAGAATAGAGAAGGCCTAGACTTCGGAACACAGCAGTATCAAGGTGAATGTAGCAATGACAGAGGCATGAAATGAAATGATATTTTGCACACCTCTGACTTAAAAGGCATTTCTATTTATGGGAAATGGAAACACAGGCGAGCAAGCAATTGCGCGAAGGTGGCACTTAGTGTAACACGCAAAGGCTGCTTTCTAAAACGACTCCACCGATTTTGGACAACTGTGAAGATTTCTAAATCCTTCACACTACTTCAAGTGCAATCTCGATACAGCCCTTTTAAACTTTCAGAAGAGTGTTTAATCATTTTGCCTGGCATAAGCTGTTAAACAGTGTTGCAGGTTGATGTTTGCAGCTTAATGGATGCCTACTCACTTCCTGCAGCTGAAATGAGGAACTGAGGGCAAGCACAATTAGACCAAAAAGACTCGGAAATTCAGGTGTCATATTCACCATATGAATGCGTTGATTATCTACCCAATAACTTGTTTAAATTAGAA